TTTATTATTATTATTATTATTATATATATATATATAAACACACACACACACACAACACAAAAAAAAAAAAAAAAAAAAAAATGCCCACAAACTATGGCAGCACGAATTGAGCAGCGAACTCTGCAAGCTCCGCAAGCTGAAGCTACCAGGCAGCCGAGGCAAAGAGTTAGCCTTAAGTCGGGCCTGTCCCCCGACAAACGGATCTTCGACGAAAAATAGCAATACCCCAAAAATAATCCAAAACAAATCCAAACATAGCCTGGAACTATTGTTTGAGAATTGTTTGACCTTTTTGGGGTATGTTTGGGGTACGCTGCATTGTTCGTCGAAGTTCCCCCTGTAAGGGGGACGCGCCCGACTTAAAGTTAGCCCTGCCTGAGCCCATCACGTAGTTCGTTTCGTCTATGCCCTTCTCCCCCTGCTCCAAATTCCGACTCCTTCCGCCCGTTGTTCCTCCGCCGAGAAAAAAAAACTTTAAAAACGGCGCAAATGCCGCGAGCATCAGGTTCGGGCGCAAGCAGGCCTGTTGCACCCAGCATCGCGGCCGAAGGGCGAGCGGTGGGGCCGCTCCGCGGCGCGCATGGGGATTTCGACGGGCGAAGAACGACATAAATTACACACGAGGAAAGCCCAGAAACCCCATGGATGGATGGTCTGGAACTTTTACAAGCACCAACCATGCCCAGCCGCAGTTTCGCAAGAGGGGAATGATATATAGAGAGAGAGAGAAGTTGCATGACACAGGGGGGGGGAAACATCAGGCATAAAGATTAGACTATGTATTGCGCATCGGGGAAGCACGAAAGAGTGAGACTGATACCGAGAGTACCGAGAGAGAGAGAGAGAGAGAGAGGAAAAATAAAAAAAAGGAAAGAGACAGAGGGAACGCCCACCGACAGCACTGCTCTAGAGATAGACTCAAATAGAGAGAGAGAGAGAGAGAGAAAAAAAAAAAAAAAAAAAAAAAAAAAAAAAAAAAAAAAAAAAAAAAAAAATAAAAAAAATGAAACACATTTTTTCAACAAAACACCCCCAAAAAAAACGTAAAACGCAAAAAAAAAGGGAAAATATAAAAAAATGAAGGGGGGACCGAGAGACGCCACCAAAATCGACCGGCTACCTTCGCCAATCCTTCCTGGTGTCGCGAAGACCCCTCCCGCGTAAACAATGCTTGCGGAAATGGCCCCCCTCGCCGTCGGGGACGCCTGTTGTTTCCAGGGCAGCCCTGGAAAGCTCATACCCCAACAGATTTGGACGCTCTTCCTCCTCCTCCTCCTCCTCCTCCTAATACTCTCCTCCGCCTCCGCCTCCTCCTCCTCCTCCCTCTCCTCCTCCTTTCAGCGAACCCTTTCAGTGAGGGCTCTGTGCCGCGCCGACGAGCGGCGCGGCGTAGCCCGTCAGTCCGACGGCCTCAGGTGGGCCCCGAACTCGTTCTTCCCGACCTTCTTTGCGACGGGCGCCCCTCCTTTGCTCGCGAGCTGAGGGGCGCCCGACCTTCTCTTGCCGCGAGGCAGCTCGGCTGAGCTGGCGGCCCCCGTATGTTACACGGGGGGCGGGCCGTGCCCCCCTTCGGCCCGTGGGCTGGGGACGGCCTCGCCGCGGCGCACGGTGCGCCGCCTCCTTCTCTTGGCGAGTCCTCCTCTCTGATGGCGTAGTGCTGAACACCGTTTCTGAGGACCCTGCTCCTGTCCTCCTTATGGGCGGCTCTCCATGCGCTCACTGCCTTCAGAGCTGTTGAAGACCCTGCTCCTGTCTTCCTTTCAGCTGAAGTCGAGGTAGCTTCAACACGCCACGCTGCTGAGGACCCTGCTCCTGTCCTCCTTTCAGCGGGCTGGTCACGTCGAGGTGTTGGTCGTAGTTGGCGGGGTGGAGGTGCAAGTGTTGGTTGCCTTTGTTCGGCCACGCAGCTGAGGACCCTGCCCCTGTCCTCCTTTCTGCGGGCGTTCCTGCAAGAGGTCGGTTCTGAGGGCCCTGCTTCTGTCCTCCTGTTCGACGTCTCCCAGGCATGCTCGTCGAGCCTCGCTGTTGAGGACCCTGCTCCGGTCCTCCTTTCAGCAGGCTCCGTCTTGGTTGCGTCGTGCCACGCTGCTGAGGACCCTTCTCCTGCCCTCCTTTCAGCGGGCGGGTTGTGTCGAGGTGGTGGTGGTTGTTGGCTGGGTGATGGTTGCGGGGTGGGTGGTCGGTCGGCGGTTAGTCCCAAACGTTGTGGTTGGTCGTCTTGAATGTCTATGGGTAGGTCGCAGGGAGGTCGGAGTGTTGCTGGGGTTGTGGTATGGGTTATGGGCGCACTTAAGAAGCCTCCATGCACCGACTTCAAGTAGGGTTCGTGGCGGCCCCACCCCGCCCCGCTATGGCTAGGGGTCACGGTGCCCTCGGTGGGGGCGAACCCCAGGCCTGGTGCTTGCTGCTGCTGTCGGTAAGGAATGTCTCGGCTGCCCTCAGCTTCGCCCCTTGGGCGATCGGGCAAGCACCACCTTCGCCATGGGGATGGTGGGGGTGCCGAGCTAGGGCGGACCGCGGGGGCGCGGGTAGCGGCCGCCCTACCCCCCCCCCCCTGCCCCTCACCACCCCCCCTGGTAGGCGCGGGCAGCGCCCGTCCTGCCCCCCCACCCTTCGAGCCCGTCTCGAAGTCTGATCCTTGACTCACCAGGGCAGCGTTGACTTGTGGGGTGGTGTGGATGTCGTCATTTGGGTCGCGGGTTGTGGTGGGTCGGTGGTGTTTGGCAAGAGTGGAGGGCGCGTGTGATGCGGCTTGCTGGTAGCCGCTGAACTCGTGCCCGTGCGGCCGCTGCCTTCATCAATACTACAAAACGTGGCGACCTGTGCCTGGGGCGTTCCCACGCTTTCGGGGCTTCCCCAGGACTTGCGTCCTAACGCCTCATGCAAAACTGGGCGACGCTGCCTGAGGTGTTCCCATGCACTCGGGGCCCCCTCAGGACTTGCGTCCTGACGCCTTTGAGCTTGTCGTCGACGACACCCATCGTGGCGACCGTCCTCGGCATGAGGAGGCACTTCGTCTTCTCGTTCGATGTAGTACGCGTCGTTGGTGTTCGGGCTCTGACTGGTGGGCGCAACGGTTGCGGCTCTGAGGCCCCATCTGGCCACTATGTTGCCGTCGAGCATGTCGGCGATGGCGACGTCGATCTCCTCTGCGTTTGCCGTGGACACTATGTTGCGGAGGTCGTCGCGGGTGCCGTTGTCGAGGATCTGTGTGGCGCCGAGGTCGTAGTGACTTGTCGGGGTCTCGTAGACAGTCATCAGGTTGGTGATGCACAGATATTCAGGAGTCTGCCGGATGATCGACTCCGCCGAGATGGACGCGACAAATGGGACCTTGGTTGTGGTCGCCGTGTAGAGCATACGCAAGACCTCTCGTGTGACGCTGCTGGCGGCAAATATCTCGTCGGCGATGGTCTCGGAGACTTGAGGCGCCCCCCATGGTGCCTCGGGGGTGCGCCGCTTGCTTGCTCTGCTGCCTAGAACATCGCTTGCGTCATGTAGGTACCAGGTTCGTCGTGGGAACTCTACGCAGATGGCCACTATCTCGCCATGTAGGATCCTACTTTATACTCGCCGAAGTTCTGGCGTTGGCTCTGAGGTCTGGCCATCGCTGTGGATTGCGATCTGGATGTAGTCCCAGCCGCTGATGCTCGCGATCCCGCTGTTGGCCATGATCTGCTGGAGGCCGGCGGCCTGTCGAGGGCGATCGGTGATGAAGACGACCTCTTGGCGCCCGGCTGGTCCTGCAGGCGAGCTCGCGGGCGGGCTGCTTGGCGATGACTCAAATCTGGCGAATACTTGAGGTACGACGGGCGACGTCTCGGAGCGGCAGCGGCGTAACGTCGCACGGGCGGGCTGGCATGTCGCTGAAGGTTGGGTGTCGTCCTTGCTTCTTGTTGGCGTTCGTGGCCTCAGCGATGGCGGTGAGGTTCTCTGCTATGTGCTGCTCCGTCAGGGGCTCCATCGTCTGGATGCGCCAGGCATGCCAGGATTTGCGGCAACGGTGGGCCGCCGATCAGTGCTTGATGAGCCTCGGGAGAGAGTGGTGCTCGGTCTAGCAGCATCGGCACGCGGCGCCTGTAGCCCAGAAGCGCGGGTCTTCGTGGTCTGGACGATCCCTACCCATATGGATTGACATGCCTTGCCTGGAGGCGACTCGGCCGCAGGCGTAGCAGACGTACTTCTGGTTGTTGGCGTCGTCGCAGAGGTCCAACTCTTCAGTCGGGTGAGCTGCGGTGATCATCTGGATGTCCTTCTGGAGCTTGGCGCCCTGAGCTTGGTCGCGAATGTGGAGAATGTAGGCCTTCAAAGCTGCCTTGACTGCGTTGGTGAATAGCTTCGGCTTCTGTCGGGCCCAGTTGATGATGTCGCGGTCGTGCTGGGTTTGGCTGGGCCACCTCTCTCTTGGTAAGTGCGCATGTAGGAAGTCGAAGTCTTTCTTGAGCTGGCGGCTCCAGGTGCCCTTTCTTTGGCGCTGGCCGTCGAGGAGCTGGAGTAGGACTGCTGGAACATGATTCAGGAGTCTTGGTAAGTATCGTAGTCGCGCTGTCGACTGGTGAGTGATGAAGTCGGGTACTCCTGTATTGGCGATTGCCTCTGCTTCGGAGATGTGCTAGTCGGGTGAGTTGGTCTTGGGTAGCGAGGCTGCAACACGGCATGGGCCCATGTACTTGGCGGAAATATGCTTCAGGTCTTTCTGGGCCAGGTCGCCCCAGACATGGCGGTTGCATGTCAGCGAGGAGGTCGAAAAAAGAGTGGCCGTACTTCACCTTGGCTTTCTTCGAGAGCTTCTTGCGGCGGAGGATCTGCTTCTCGAGAGGCCGGGCTGCACCGAGCGCGCGGTTGACCCTTAGGCAGATGTCTGGCCCCATGACCCCGCCCGCCGAGATGATGGCACCGAGGGCTCTCTGTTGCATTACTAGGTGCACCTTGATAGAAAGTTCGTCCAATTCGAGGTATGTGATGCCCTCCTTGGCGACCCGCTGTTTCGCCTACTTGGCCCCCGCGCCGTAGTGCACGAGGATGGCCTTGGTCATGTCTGGGCGTGGCTTCAGGCCATGCTGGAACGCTGCTGCGCAGAGCCTGGCAGCTGCAAGAGTGGGAGCGTTGATCCGGTCGCTGGCGCTTGCGGTCGAGTTGTACTCTGTGAGGTCGTCGACGAAGGACATGTTCCTGAGCACGCTTCCTTCGTGAGGGTTCGGTGAAAAGAGAGGCTCGCTGCAGGCCTCTATCTCGCGTCCGCCTATCTGCCGACCGTGGGCCTCTTCATCCTGGACTGCCTGGTCGATTGCCCCCAGCATGATGGCGAAGTGCATGTTGAAGGCTACGTCCGAGCATGGCACTCCAGGTCGGGTGCTGGTCCGAGGCAGCTGGCAGTGCCTTGCGCTCTTGGCTGTCATCCAGTTGGTGGTGTGTTGATCTGCGATCATGTGGCAGAGGTGCTCGTCGTCGATGTGCTGGTTGCTGTAGGCGGGCTGCTGAAGTCGTTCCTTTAGCGCTGGTCTGATGAAGTCGGGAATGTCGATTCGTTCGATGAGCTCGTTCAGCTCGTCGGCGGAAGTCTGCAATTGCATGCAAAATTCCCTGATGACGGAGTGGAAGGCCTCCCTGAGGTCCAGGAAAGTGATGCTGCATGATCTTGATCTCCTTCGGCAGTCGCTGATGAGGGCGAGGCTGGTGTGAGTAATGAAATCCGCGGCCATCATGGGCCTGGCACCGCACTGGGTTGCTTCTAGGAGCTCGGGTAGCAGGCCCTTCACGCGGGAGCGGAGGAAGCTGCTGTGCATCTTGCCGATGGCGTTGCTGAGCAGGATGCCGCGGTAGGATTCCTGGAGCTCCATGGCCCGCTGTTCCTTGTGGAAGTAGGTGGAGTACCCGCCCTTGGCGGCGATCGGCTCGGTGCTCTCGAAGTGGGTCTTGACCAGGACGGGGTGGAGCAGACGAGCCATCCCTTCAGGGCTGGCTCTGGACATGTCGTCGGTGAGCTGGTCGGGGCCGCCTCGGCGGCCTCGCTTGGCGGCGGCGAGCTGGCTGGTGAGCTGGTGCTTGGGTATTACGTTCTGGATCTTAGGTCCTGGCCCTTCGTGGCGGGTCCTCTTAGTGTAGTCGGCTGCTACCCCGTCTGCGTCCGTGCCTGTAGCCTGCTCGACGTTGCCGTAGAAGGCCAGAGCGTGGTCGGCGATCTCGCTCTTCGTCGTGAAGGGCTTCCCGTCGTCGTTGGTGCGGATGATGGGCGTCGGCGGCTTCTTGGACTTTCGTCCTCCGAAGGCCAGTAGTCGCTTCGCATACAGGGCCTCTAAACGGGGGGCGTGGTCGTCGATCGCTGTGCCCATTTCGTCGGCGGTCCTCTCGAGGAAGTCGTCGCGGTCTGTCGTGATCCACTTCTGTGGGATCGACTTAGACGTCTGGAAGAAGCGAACGAGGGCGTCAAAGTAGTGCCGGGCGCTGTGCACGGCGTTGACTTCGTCGGGTTCCACGACAGAGGTCGCCAGGCTGGGAGTGCTGAAATTGATGGAGCCCACCACAATTTTGGCGTAGTCGCTGAGATCGGCCAGGGCACTCACGTCGGCGGGGTCGGGCAGGAGAGCTTCCTTCGCTATGAGCTCGGCCGCGTAGCGTAGCCTCGTCGCCGAAGTGGCTGGCAATCCCGTTTTTCTAAGCGATCCGCGTCGTCTTGAGTAACGAGCGGCGAACTCGCAGGAGTGCGAAGGGTCGCCTGGCGATGTAGGGCTTGTGCGGAGTGCGGCCGTGGGAACGGAAGCACTCGCGCGCAGCCTCCGTGATCTTCTCGGTGACTATGGCGAGGTGCTCGTTGAGGTTGGTGCCCCAGGGCGGGCGTTTGGCCTCGTCGAGTTTTGGGCTAAACTTTTTGCGGCAACCGTCGCCGGCTAGCTTGCTCTCGCCTAACTTCGGGGCTCCTTTGGTGACGGACGAGACGGTCTGGTAGGCAAGCTGCAGCTTGACTGGGTAGTGGTCGTCCTTGGTCTCTGGGTCCTGGCCGCTGTCTATGCCGTAGCGAAGGCGCACTCTTCGATAGAGTCGACGTAGCCCTTGGGGATGATGACGTAGTCGATGCGACGAGGGCCCTTGCCCGAGCGCCAGGTGCAGCGCTCTGGCCCGTGGCCGACGAAGGAGCTGGCGGCGGCCAGGTGGTTGGTCAGGAGAGAATCATATAGACGGTGTCCGTTTGGGTCCTCGTGTTGCTTGAAGCCCTTGTCGCCGATGACCGTGCTGGCGATGCTGCCTGCCCTGGCATTTGCGTCGAAGAAGATGATGCTCGCTTGGCGCCTTTCGGCGGCATCCGCGAGTTGCTTCCAGTAGCGACCCTTCACGGTCGCGAGGGCCTTCGAGCGCGGGGCGCGGGCGACGGCAAGCACGCGGTTGAAGCCAGGGGCGGCAACGCGGACGATAAGGAGCCTGGGGTCCTTGACGAGAACTGTGAACTGCTCGGGTTTGAAGTAGAGCTCCTTTTGCACCGCTCTTGCCGTAGAGCTTGCTGAGTAGAACGTGCAGTTCGCAGCCGTAGTTGAACCCTTTGTGACCGCTGGAGATGATGTGGTAGCAGTTGGCGTTAACGCATCTGGCGCCGTCGTCTTGTCCTGCGTCGCGGACGCCCCAAGGCGCCCTTGCCTCCTGGATGCCGATGATATGGAGGCCCCCGTCGCACAGGCAGGCCATCGTGGACTTAAGCTTATTGGTCTTCTCTTTTCGACGCTTCGATCCTTCCTTTGGCTCTCTCCCCGACTGGATGTTGAAGGTCGCGATGTTTATTTCAACTTGAATCTTCTTGTCGCTGGACCCGGCGGGGCTGTGAAAGTGTCGGGCCTCGGCGGCCGCCTCGACCCTGTTAGCTGCGAGGCTGCCGTGTCCGAAAACGGGGTGCGCCCCCTGGCGCTGGGATCCGCGTCGATCAGGAACTCCCAGTCCCGCTGGGATGCGCCGTCCATGACGCTTGCCCACTCTGGCTGAGGAGGTGTAACTTCTTGCAGGCGTCCGCGGTTGGCGGCGGCGTCGGCAACCTCGTTCCACGGGTTGCAGTCGCGGGCATGGACGCGCTGCAAGTCGATCTTGTTGCTGACCATGTCGTAGAGGATGCAGAGTGCCCCGACGAGCTTGGGGTCGTGGCCGGCGAAGGCGAGCCTCCTTGCGAGCTGCAGGGCGCCGAGCGAGTCCGTGGATATCGCGGTGATGTGGTGGGGGTTGTAGTGTATCACCCAGGCGAAGGCCCATATAAGGGCTGTGATCTCGACGGTCGTGGAGGTTGTCTCGTGCTCGGCGTTGTCCTTGAGGGCGATGTCGGCGCCGCTCTTGTGCTTCCCTATAATGGCCCCCTGGAAGCTGAAGCCGTGGTTGTCGTCACCTACGATCACAACGGACCAGGCGTCGCCGCTCGGCTTCTTCGGGTTTTTGGAGCCGCCCGTGAAGATGGATCTTTGCTCCTTCCTGGGGTGGTCGTTGTGGGTGGTAGCGGGGCATGTAGTCGGCTGTCTCGTTGAGGCTCTCGTCGCAAAGGTCAAAGGTGATGCGAGGAGATAGGGATTGCTGCATCGTTTGTCGGATGGTTGGTCGCTCGTCGAATTGTACTCTGCGCTGCTCTAGCAGCGGGGGTGGCGTGTCGGGTGTTGTTGTTGGCTGGTTGGGTGGTACTGGGTGCTTGACGTTGGTAGCTCTGAAGGGTTGAATGGCCTTCCCTCTTACTCGATGTAGACGCTGGCCCGCAGTGCGAGGCTGCGCTTGGGCGTCAGACAGGCGCGTCGACGTTGGGGGGGGGGGGGGGGAGATGTTCGAGAGCGGAAGGGTTGCATGGCGCTTCCCCTGTCAGTATGCTCGGCGTCAAGGTATGCGGCTTCGGCGTCGTGGATCTCTCGTGGATCTATGCAGTTGTCTGCCGCAGGGGCGGGCGGTGCTGCGTCGGCCCCTCTGGGCGTCTGCGCCGCTTGACGGCGCATCCAGGGCATCTGCAGGGGGGCCGCTGTTGGCCCCGTGGCGTTGGCAGGCTTGGCCTCCGGCGGGCCGTTGGAGGCCCTGAGGGACTCTCTAGGGGGAGAGCATGGCGATGCTGAAAAGCTGGCCTCGTGGAGTCTCCGAGGTCCAGCCGAAGGGGGCCTGCGGAGTGAGTCTTGGTGCTGCTCCTCAGGTTGTTGCAGTCATTGCTGCTGCGGCTGCTGCAGTCCTTGCTGCTGCTGACGTCGGCTGGCCTCCTGGCAGGGCTCTTCGTTAGGCCCTTCGGGAGAAATGTGATACGGCGCCTTTGGGCCAAAGTGGCTGGTCGCCTGGTTCGCCCTCTGCTGGGCACGTCTCTGGGGAGCGGGTCGGTCGGGTCGATGGGGGCTTGCCCCGTCTGGCCTCGCTGGCCGCCTAGGTGGGGTTGTTGGTGCACTGCGGTTGTCGGCCGAGGGGATGGCCCTCGGTCCGACGGTTGGCGCAGTCGTGGCTGCTAGCGCCTGCGCGCTGCCAGGGTCGTAGTGCTGGCCCCAAGGCGCCGCGGCTGAGTAGATTACCCACTCGCCGGTAGCGTTGAAACTAATAGTTTTATTGGTTTTGCTTTTTTGCGCCGCAGTCGCTGGTTGTGGAGTGCTGGGTTGCGCGGCCGTCGGCGTCAGGCGGTGCGCTAACCCACAAGCTAACACCGCTGAGGCGGTCGGCGGCCTCCCGAGTGGGGCGCGCGGCTGCAAAGGCGCCTGGGCCTGTCGCTGAGTGTCTGGCACCGCACGGGTCGCACAGCCCGTCTGCTGGGGCTCATTGGTTGCTCCGTCGAGCTGGTTGTTACGTATAGCCACTCTGAGCGGGCTAGGTGCTCGGTCTTCTGGCGAGGTTGTGGCGGGACTCCCCCGCTGGGCCAGTTGCCCCCCAGCGGGGGGGCCCTGCTCAGTTTTTTTCCAGCGTCTGAGCTTGAACCCGAGCTGCCCTCCTGACTCTCGGGGTCGAAGCGCCTGCGGTTCATTGGGTTGTCGAATCCGTCGCCGTCATCCAGGATCCGCCCCTTACGCGCGGGCCTGCTGCGGGTGCTTGCCCTTCGGAGCGCCGACGGCGGTGCTGATCTGGCACGGTCGGGAGTGGCGATGTGGAATCGCGCTGAAAGTGGCTTCGGGGGATATGGTTGGGTAGGTGCGAAGGGGGAGCCGACTTCGAGCGTAATGGGGGAGCGTGGGGGGGAGTCCGGGTTCCCCAATAGGGCGGTCTGTGCGCGAGACGGTCGGAAGTGTCGTGGGAGATGGGATCGTCGGGGAGCGGCACGGACTGCGCCCTCTGCAGGGGGGCGGCCATGGGTGCCGGGGGGGGCAGGAAGGGGCCTGCTCCCCAGGAGGCAATTGGTGTCGGTTGCTCGTCGGGGGGGGTCGGCGATGCTCGGACTGTCGGAGCGCGCGTTGAGTCGCCGAGGTCGTGGTCGTTGGGGTCGTCGAAGCTCTGGTCTTCAGCGGGTCGTGTGGGAAGTGGTGCGGATGTCTCGGCCAAGAATCCTTCGCGCGTCTTCGGAGTCTTCGGGGCCGTTCCGTCTCCCGCGGCTGGCGTCGGAGCTACTCCCGAGGGGGGTGCGAGGTCGATGAGGGGGCCGAGCGGTTGCGGCGTCGTCGCTGGTGGTGGGAGTGGTGATGGGCTGCGTGGCGGTGCTTGTGGCTGCGGGTTGTTGCGCGGGTCGGTGGCCTGGTGGAGCTTTTGGATAGCTGGGTGCGTGCCGTTGTAGCCGAGGTCCACGGAGCGATCTTCGATGTTCTCGCTCCCGCAGCGCCTGCACTTGATGATATCCGTCTTGGCGCTGGTGTAGTTGCCGCAAGACTTGCAGAGGCTGCAATAGAAGGGCGGCGCTAATCCATTCGAAGATCCTGGTGATGAGGGAGCGCCACGAGGTTCTGCAATCTTCGGGGCTGCCATCTGGTCAGAGTTCGGCGCAGCACGGTTCACGGGCCACGTCGCAGTCGAACTCGTGCGACGGAGCGACGGCGTGGAGGGCGGAGCGTATGTTGTCCCGCTGGTAGGCCTCCTCGTCGTCGGCTTGGGCTTGCATCTTCTGCTTCTCGTTTTCCGCGATGAGCGCGCTGGCGGCGCCGTCGAGCATGTCTGCGTCGATCCTGGGCGCGATGCTGCCGAGCTGCCCCCGCAGGGTCTTCTCGAGAAGTGCTTGGTGCACTCGGTGCTCTTCCTGTTGTCGGGCAAGCTGTTCACGGTGATGCTCTTCCTGTGATTGTCTTTGTGCCAGTGCGGCTTGTGGCTCAGTGTTGGCGAGCCGCAGCTGCCGGCATATCTCTGCCTCGCGCTGGCCGCGTCTCCAGGAACTGCTCGCGCTGATGCTGGTCGTACTCCGTCTTGCGCTGCATCTGCTGCTGGAGAGCCTGGGCCTCGTTGAAGAAGAACTGGCGCTGCAGGGTAGCACGTTGGTGCTCCGCTTCTTTGGCTTCGAGCTGGTCGCGCTTGTTCTGGATGCGGCGCTGCGCCTCGAGCTGGAGGTCCGCCTGCTGGTAGACACCCTCTCGCCCCCTCTGGACCGTGGAATGTTTCTCCAAGAGCTTATTGGCGGCAATGGCGGTCTGCTGCTGGATCACGTGCTCTGAGTGGATCTCCTCTCGCTCTAGGTCTGCCTGGGCTTCCGCGACCTGCTCAGCGACGTCGCTTTTCCTTTGCATCTCCTGGGCCGCCACGACTTGCACGGCCTGCTCCTCGAGGCGGAGGTCCTGGTTCATCTGCTCTATCCTCTGGCCCCCACGCTGCAGTCGTTCGCACTCGCGATGAAGTTGTTCACTCGTCGCTTGCCGGCGGGCTGCTTCCTCGGAGGTTGATGCGATGCAAGTCTGGGAGGCCGTTTCAGCTCGGATGGCATCGGGCATGTCGCGAGCCCCCTGGCGCTTCTGCTCGTAGGTGAGCTTCTGACGCTCTCAGCGCGCGCTCGTGGTTCTCGATCCTCTGCGCTTCCTGCTGCATCTTCTCGGCGTAGAACTGATGAACAATCTCTTCTCGATGCTGGAACGCGCGCTCTTGCTGAGCTTCTTGGCGGCGGAGTGCCTCGGTGTTCCTTGCTATGGCTTGTTCGGTGGCATTCATGGCCGCCTTGGAAAACGCCTGCTCGCGACGCACGAGCCGGTTTCTGCTTTGCATCTTCAGCTCGGCAAAGCACTGGCGCATGGCCTCCACCTCCTCCTCATATTCTCCTGACTTTGTGCGGAGCTCGGCGTTGGCGATGCTGGCCCGGCTCCTTCCTTCTCGGCGCGCTTCCTCGTCTTTCCTCCTGACCTGCTCTGCAATGGTGCTTGACGGGGAGGCCGGCCTGCTCGAGCACGAGGAAGGAGGCTCTCGACTGGCGCGACGGCGAAATGGGGTGCTGGCCCTTTTGTCTCTGTACTTCTTGATGTCGTCCTCGGAGTCGGCCTCGCAATCGGCGTCGGCTTCGGCGGCGATCTCCAGCTTGACATCCGTGACGAGGCGCCTCAAGTCGGAGATGCGCTGGGCGTTGGCGTCCGCCTTTGTCTGCAGAGCCTCCTTCTTCTCATGGATGTTTTTCTGCTCTTTTGCCAGCGCCTCTATCTGAGACCGATATTGTTGTAGCCGTACGCGTGGATCCGCGGCCATCGCGAGCATGCACTTGATGACCGAAGCCTCCGTAAGCAACTTGCTGGCGTCAACCTTGGCAAACTGGGCGCCGCCCATCTGGTCGGCGACACGGCCGAGCCTCTGCTGGAGGTTCCTCGCCCAAAGCTTCCTCACGTCGCGATCTTCTGGCGGGAGGCCGAAGGACTCGCGGTCACGAGAAAGGGAGAAAGGCAGCTCGAGCACGGCATCGGCGATGGCCTGATGCCTTTTGCTGAGGATGAAGTCCTGGATGTGGACAGCGTCTTTCTTTTTTGAAGCAGATCTGCTCCAAGGACGCTCTCTTTGAAAAGTGGAACTCCGCCATGGCCATGGTTGCTCCCCCACGGCGGGCCCAGGGTGTGTGGTCCCTGCTCCTGACCACCTTTCCCCTGGGCCCTGGGAAAGCGCCTGGGCTGTGGACCCTGACCCTGTCCACCTTTCCCCCGCGCCGCGCTGCGACGCCTCGAGGTGTGTGGTCCCTGCTCCTGACCACCTTTCCCTCGAGGCGCCGCGCTGTTGCTGCTGCTTCAAGCTCTTCGCCATGTTGTCTACGGGCTGGGCTGAGTGATGATCTGCAAGTAGTCGGGAGGCCTCAAATGCCTTCAGGAGTGTCCTGGCGTGGCCCCGCGCTATGCGGGCCCTCCTGCGCCAACTTTGTTTTTCTGCCTGGGCGTCGTTCTTTAGCCTAGGCGTCGCGGCCACGGAGCTTCTCTTCAACTTTGATTATTTCATGGCGCCGCGGCGCGCTGGCCCGGGTCGACGGGACTGGCCGAACGAGGGGACGACACGACCACACGCGGCGGCGGGCCCCTCCTCAGCCCGTGGCTTCTCCTCCTCCTCCTCCTCCTCCTCCTCCTCCTCCTCCTCCTCCTCCTCC